CAAACCACGATCGACCAGCAGACCGAGTAAAGGGCCTACAAACTTCCATTCCCGTCCAAACTTTTCCCTTAAAAGGGTATAACTTCCCAACACCAACTACTTTCATATAACCGCTTCCTCGGCTCCAGAATTGCAGGTATGTCCGCACACTCACACTTATAATATCATTACAAATATCGGCACCTGCTCACACTCTTCCCATCCACACAACCACACATTCTCATTCTACACAGTTCTACGATGAGTGCCCACACCCTCTTGCACGACGCCGTGCTCCGAGCAGCCAATCGACAAAACCTCACAGACCGATCACCCGGATCACTGAATCCTGAGAACGACGACTCCGTCCTCACTCGAGTCCACAGTCCACTCACCTCGCCACCCACCCACTCGCCCCCGTCGGAATCGGCCAGCCCCAGCGCACCCAGCACGCCGCCCAAGGGCAACGGACGCAACCAATCCAGGGTCGGCCTTCGTCAGAAACGCGAGGCTGCCGCTAAGGCCAAACTAAACTCTAGAGACCCGCTCCGCCGGCTGCCCATCGACGTCGCCGTCCGCGTCTTCACCATCGTCGGCCTCGGCGCTGATGGCTGTGGTGGACACCTCGACGGATCCACTTTCTCGGCCGTCAAAGACCTCCTCAACTGTGCCTTGGTTTGCCAAAAATGGCGCACGAGCTCTGTCATCAGTACGTTTGACGATCCAATATACAATATGCACATCACTCATCTCTATAATCATCCAAGCCGTTCACTAAAACCTTGTCCCCTGCTGCTGCTGCTCTCTCCTCAATCACTCAGATTACGTATGGTTCAAGCTAGCCCACCAAACCTCATACAGCAACTCGATCGAAGAAGAATTCCAACCACTCACCTGGACAAGGAAAGACTCGAGGACGAATTGGAGCGAGAAGTATAAGGAGATCAACCAGGTCAAGCGCTCATCATCACCCCCACCGATGGCGATCGATGTCGATGCTGCAGACAACGACGGACCGACCCCGAAAGAACTGCGCGAGGCCGCTTGGAATGCTCAGGATAATCAGACGATGACTAAGAACGAGGCCCGCGCGTTTTATAAGGATCTCGGCGGAAGGAAACTCAGGGATAAGTCCGGAAAAGGCTTGGGCTCCGATAGGACCGGGTGGCAAGATCATGAAATCTACGATTGAACTTTAGAAAATAACAAAATCCCATCGAAAACTGCCATCTTTCGTATCAAAATTGCCATCAACAAATTCAAAAAAAACACCTCATCTATCCAAGCTCACAAGTCGTTTCTTTGATAGCTTCTTCATCCAGCCAACGTCGTCTTCTTTTTTATTTGCTTATTATTTATCAGTCAACCAGATCGTCTATCTACTCAAACTTGGCGGCCCATATATCTTCGTTTTATGTCCATATATCGATATAATCGATATAGTGATATTTATATCTTCCTATAACTTATCTCGTTACCTCTTCTACATACATCCTTCAGATCGACATGCCGTATTGTCATTACATCCAATCATCCAGATCCCGATCCGTTTTTGTATCCAATCTTACCTATTTGCACCCTTTAGCTTGTTCACTACACACTCATGCATGTATTGATCCTCCATGTTTTTTTTTTTTTTTTTCGTTGCTCCTATCGTCTCCTCCACCCTTGCCTCCTTCTCACACCAATGAAAAGTCTGCTTGTCCCTCTTCAACCTCTTTTTTTTTTTTTTTGACTTGATCATGCTCCCTACTTCGACTTGTTCCTCGTATATTCACCTTTTCCTTTTACTTGGTCGTGTGGCCTATAACTTGTAGCCAAAAAACAATGGGACTCGATAATTATAGTAATTTATCAATCGTCTTGATCGTTTGCTCGTTTCGTTTTTCGTGCTTTCTTGACTGATCACTGTTAGCTCTTTCATCATCATCATCATCATCGCATCCAAGATAAAAATTACAGTTGAATTGGGAGCTTGAAAGTCTGTCTCTCATGACCCATGAATCTCCATGCTATCATATCATATCATACAATTCACAATTGGACTCTTACTCTTGCAAGTTGGATCAGTTGATGGCCCTCATTGGAATGTATCCACTCAAACACTTGATCTTCAACACCAAAGACCTCTTATAAGCACATAAAACAAAATCAATGTGAGAGGGCCAATGAAGGCTTTTAAGTAAACAAATAGGCTTAAGAGAGCCAAACAAACTGTCATGCAATCTAACACCGGCGTCAACCTCCAATTCACATTTGTCGCATTTGTCAACACCGGTGTGAGACCAAGACGGACAGGTGTGCAACTCGAGAAAAACCCATTAGGTCATCAAGGAAACACCCACTTAAGAAAAGGGCCTTAGTTAAACGACTCCCAAAATTTGGAGTTCCAACTCCCAAATTTCGGGGACGTCCTCATGAGGACTGGAGGACTTCCCGTCAACATCTGCGGGTCTCCCAGAGCCGGTTTAGAGCTTTGAAATTCAAATCTCCCTGCGAGAATTAAAAGTTTTTGGCTCTAGATTGACTTCTGCAAGGGTCCCAGATCCAACGGGAAGTCCTCCACTGTCTGCGGACAGTGCCCAGGATGGTCAGGCCCCCTAATTTTTTTCCCCCGTTTTTTGGGAGTCAGTCCTCCAAACCCTCCGTCTGCAGACAGTCCTCAGGACGTCCCCATAATTTGGGAATCAAAACTCCAAAATTTGGGAATCATTTAAACAAGGCCCTTGAAAAAATGGGGCAAATATAGTACCAACCAAAACTCCCTGAAAATGGGGGCATGTACTAGTATAAGATATATAATCCAAATCAAGTACGCATATTATTTTGGAGGCAAGAATGCAATGACACTCAAGATGTTCTGAAAATTCATTGCAACATCAATCGGTCAATATACTATGCTGGAACAGCAAGCGGTAGCATGGCAGTTTTTGTGCAGAAATTGTGTATTCTTAGCACCTGGTTAGCCGTTTTCTTTTTCCATGCTGGGCTATGCTGTGCTACAGGCCGCTGGAGGGCCAAGAAACCCTAACCAGTGTGTCCGCAAAGCATAGCGGGCACATTTTGAGGGCCTGCACAGAGATGGCAGAATTCTGCTGCACTACACTAACCTTTAGCAGGATCATGCTACGTTACACAACACTAACACTAAGTTTAGCATAACTGGCTGATTGTTGATTGCAATTGCTGAATTTTATTTTTTTTTCTCTGGCCTGACAAATTGAGGTTTGGAGGCTTGCTTTGTGCCAGCGAGGCATTACCTGGCCCAACAAATTGACGGGGTTGGTGTTAAGCTTGCATTGGGGGGGGCACCAGGGAATTGGATATTTGTGCCCATTCATACACATTTTGTGTGTATGCTTGGGCTCAAATCCCCCCAATATTGAGGAAACCCCCCAGAAGATGCAGGGATCCGGCGGTTTTTGGGGGGTTTCCCCTCATGTTTAGCATATATTTAGGGACTTGGTTAAACGACTCCCAAAAAGTGGAGAGCCGACTCCCAAGCCCCGGAATCCCCGAATTTTTGGAGTCGAACCCCCAAAACCTTAGACTGGTTTGGGAGTCGACTCCCAAAAAAAAATATTAAAAAAAAAACCATCCCCCGGTCGGTTTAGGAGTCGATCCTCCAAAACCGACCAGGGTTTGGGGGTCAACGAAGCAAAAGACCCACCAAAGCAGCCGGGAGGAATCTGCCCGGCCGCTGGGAGTACACTCCCGACGGCCGAGGGAAACACCTCGGCCGCTGAGAGTACACTCTCAATGGGCCGAGTTGTACTTCTCAG